ATCCATTTCCATTGGAATTGTGTGAGGTCTTTCGCTCGGACTCCTTCCATTTCGGAGACGGTCAACTTGTTTTTTTTTTGCACACCCGAAAAGAAGGTGTGCCAAAGAAGCTCGGGATTCCTTGAAGCAGCTGAAAAAAAATAAAACAACCGAACAATCAGTTGACAACCAAACAACTAAACAATCAAACACAAAAAAAAACAAATTAACACATTGAAACACCTTAAACAATGAAGCTTGCGTTCGCCTTTCTATAGAGATGGTGGGAGGTCCGGTCTGGATAGGCATCGCCGGTGGCGCACCTGCGAGGTTTGCCGCCCGGTCTCGCCGCGGGAGGTCGCCGGCGACGCGGGCGAGGGCGGTGAGTCGCGGCTGGTGGCGGTCTCCAATTGGCTGCAAGTCACCTGTGACATGCGGAATGGACTCCGGTGACCTGCTGGTGCGGCTGTTTGGAACAGATTCGCCCCCTGGCCGGGTTTGGAACAAGCCGAACAGGTGGTTTGGGGCATGTTTCTGGGTGGTCACCAGGAAACAATAGGAAACAACCTGTTAAAGTTGGAGGGTCCAGGAAGTGGAACTTGGATGAACTTGGACTGGATGTATGGATCGGGAGGTGTGCAACTGCTGTGATGGACCGGAAGTTCTCTTTTTTGGAGGTTGGGAGCCCCGTAGAGATGGATCCTGTCACGCATCTGTCTGTTTCAGTACACACCTGGACCATCTGAACCTTGGGGTCTGGCCAGACTACCCAGCCCACGATTGATCCCTGTGAATCCACATACCCTTTGAGAGGGTGAATCATGTCTTCGAAACCTTTCTGGTGCCACCTGCAGGATCCCGTGTTCGTGCCCGTGCCCGTGGTCATCAGTCTGTGCTTCTCCCAATCGGGTGCGACGCCACCCCCGGTCCGCCGAAGGGCCTCCCTCGCTCCGGCCTCGGTGTTCGATCGGACCACGCGCTCGCCGAAGGACTCGACCTCCACATGGATGCCCGCCTCGGAGCTCGAGCGACGTTTGGGAACGGCCGAGGTGTGACAGGCGATGACCAAAGGCCATGTCCGTGCCCCGAACCCCCCGGTGGTTGGGTTCTCCTGGTAGAAAATGCCAATGAACAGGGCACACAAACTCCTGGAAGACCCCCCGAAAAGGGCAAAACTACTCTGCGTAGTTTTTTTTGATGTTCAGTTCAACAACTGCGTTCTGAGGTACAAATATGTAAATCCACTATAGTTCACTGCACACTGCCATTGTGCCCATAAGGACATTTACAACCTGTAATGGTCCAAAAAATAAAAATAAGATGAAAAAGAACTTCGTCAGGTTCCGAACACCATTCGCGACCTCACAAGACCTCGGTTCGCCGGGACTGGACCTGTAAAAGAAAAATATTAGAAACAAAAAGAACACTCCAAGAAGGATCCGAAGCCTCAAACACCAGGGTTTTGAGGGCAAACCCAGGCTGCGACCCCACAGGGTTCCAGTCGGATCCCTGTAGGGTTATAACATATGCACCGCGGTACGGGACCAATTCCAAACTATAGAGGATCATTGAGCTATAGCTCAATGATCCTCAGCTTAAGCGTGGACGCCTGACTCCGCAGAGCGGAGAGGCCTCACCTGTCACCCCTCCGATGGGTTGCACGACTCCACGCCCTCCATACGCCCGCCCGTCGCCCGCGCTCCGCGCGGACGCACCTGGTGGGGCACCGACTCAGCACAACCTGAGACTCGCTGCCAGAGTGGCACACGGACCCGAAATACCTCTGGAAGTCCAAGACCAGGCTATGACCTGTAATTATGTCATTTTGTAGTTGATCTGATCTGGTTTTGGTCCAGGATCCTTGGCAAAACACTTGGTGCTTCGGTAAGAACCTCTAACCTCGATGCTTGGAATCCTAGTTACGGAAGACCTCCGGAAGACCAGCCCGGTCGGCCCGGTCAGCCCGGAAGATCAGATCTCACGATGCGTTTATACCTCAACTGTTTGAACATCAACACCAAAGGTTTAAGGAACATACCTTGCAAAGCACAGGCGTTGGGAGTTTTGGGTGTAGAATTGTTAGGCCTCCGTTCATGGTTCAAAAAAACGATATTGTTTCACAAGGATTGGTCTGTCAACCTTTCTCTTTGGATGCTATGATTGCATCCTTTCCAAGCAAATGTGGCCACTAGAGTATATTGGCACCATTAACAATATTTGGTAAAAGTTATATATATTATATACTTAGAGGTTATAAATATATAAATAATATATATATATATCATATACTTAGGATTACTTATAGTTGTTGTGCTGTTAGAAAGAGGTCTGAAGAATGAGTTCGGCCACCAGTCTCGTTGCTACTACCGTCGTCGGTTTCGCAGCCCAGGGCCCCCGACAAAGCTGCCCCATTCGGACAACCTGTGGCTTTGGTGCTTCGAAAGTCCAAGGAATCCTTTCGAACGCCTGGGGGAGGTGGCAAAGTGAGTTGTGCGTCCAAAAACGTTCCGAAAGGTTTCTCAGGTTTTGCTTACAGAACATGAGATGATATAATATTATATATATATATCTATTATATATATAAATGTAGTTATATGTATCTCCAGACCCTTCACAGTAACTAAGGAGCATGCCAGCATGCAGTCACTTTGAAGTTTGAAGGAAGTGACTGTCAACCTTTTGACAGGTCGCTGCCCCAGGTCGCTGGTCAGAATGAACAGTGACGCTTCCCGTTGGAATATCGACCCCCAGAACTGGGAAGTCGCAGGGTGTGTATGGGGAGCGTCTCTGATTTGCCACAAGATCCCAAGCCTGCCTGGCGGCCCCGCCGAGTATCACAGAATTCAAATGGTGTGAACCTTGTGAATGTGCACTTGAGGTTGCTGTGGTGAGGTGACTGTGCAGCTGCAGTGAAAGCTGGCATCAGCCAATTAAACCTCTGATGATGATGATGATGATGATGACTCTGACTTGCACAGCACGTACAAAGCGCGTCTTGTTGCGTGCAACGTGCAAGAATGGTCAATAGTTCACTAACTCTATACCGTCTTGGAGCATGCACGCTCAACTGCCATCTGGGTGGCTACAGCGTCAAAGCGGCTGCGGCCGGGCGACGGTGTAGAACAGGATTGACTCTTGACACACTGGTCTATTGCGGAAGATCGAAGAATCCTGGGATATCATAAATCATAAAACTTCCTTCAATGAAACAGGTCAGGTTCAAGATTTCAACAGCTTAGCTCAGGTCGGGTCAGATCAGGTCAGGTCCTTCTGGTCCTTCAAGAGGTCAGATTCGAGATTGATGCTGGACTGCTGGACCCTCTCTAAGTTGCGATGCCATGGCCACCGTCTTCTTGACACCGAAAACTCGGGTCAGCTGAGAGGGGGGGGGCCGTCTCAAACGGATTGATCAGTAAACATTATAAACTGGGCCAATTGGCGTGGCTCAACCAACCCCATTCAAGGTGTTTTAGGCTGCTGTCCTTTTGAACCAAAGAGCGGCCCCTCGCAGAATGGGACAAAGCAACAGAATGAGTATGACTCGGTATGACCTTCTCTCCCTCAACTCCCTCCGATTGATCAATACAAATTTGAGACTAAGCCCTCCCACTCAACGTTTCAGGAGGCATGGTCCATCTTCCGTTGGGAGAGATGTTTGGCGTACGCAGCAACCAGGTCTACGCTCGAACGCGTCTGACTCCGATCGATTCTTTCTCAGATCCCGTTAGCTACTGACGAGAATTGAGGATATTTACAAACACGATCCCTAGGTGGTTCCAAAAGAATCAGAAACGGCGTACGTCTTGATGTCTACAGAGTTTAGAGGGGGTGAAACCATTCTATCCATGCTGCTGGTGCCCAAACACTTCCCTGTCCTTCATCCAAAGACATTCGCATGCTTCCTGCGAGTCCCAACACCAAGCACCGACCGACCCTCAAGACCGTCCGTACCACGTGGTGAACCGTACGGAGGGCGCGGAGGTTTGGAGGTTTGAACGTCCCGTCCCACAAACATGCCAGGCTGAACGCTGCCCGGGCACCTGCCATGAGCGGTAGGGGAAACCAAAAGAACATACTGTGGCAGTGCGGATGAGCACAAAAAGGCCAGGTGGTCCAAATTTCAAACCACTTCCGGGCGTAAGGAAGTACCACCAAAACTGGATGCTTTTGGAGTTCTTTTTTCGGATCTTCTTTGGTGCTTTTGGTGCTTCAGTTGAACTTGGAGCTGTCTTTAAACTAAGTTGTGATCTTTCCACAGACCTTCTGGAAAAGGTATGCCTCCAGTCTGCCAGAAAACATTATAAAAAGAAACGCCGGTTGCTAGCAGGGGATTGCTAGGGCAAGTGCATGCAAGCAAGTCCTGCTGAAACAGGTGAGGAGTTGACAGCTAAAACATACTCTCCCTCCAATAAACATGGAAGTGGCCAACCACCTGTTTCTAGAGGAAAATTGTCTTTCCAGGGAGGGTACTTGATTGTCAGTCATTCGGTATTGATGCTGCAATGATTTGTACTTACAACTTACAGCTCTAGGAATTCACAGGTGGTGCACAGCTAGATTTGTCTGGCTTGAACCAAACGTGTTCAGGATCTTTAACCCCTGGTCGTTTCTCCATTGGCCGCTGGATTTGTTGAGGGTCCATTGTTTCGTGCCAGTGCAGTGGAAAAGGAGGTTTGAGGGTCAATGTAGGCACACACTGCATACACGGGGTGTTTGGGAAACACAAGCATACCCACGACCGCCGAACACGTGTCACTCTTGTGATTCCGATGGCCAGTCAGCATCGTCAAGACCCCACGCTGTCCAGCAAATGAACTGACATGACATGGCAGTCAGGAATCACAGATGTGATTCAGCGAAAAACAATGGCACTTGATTGCAGAACGTCTCCTCGTCTTCAAAGCCGGCCATTCAACTCATATCAACTCATTTGCTGGTTCTACCGTCCTACCAAATGGATTGATCACCCGCATCGGGTTGCTGTACGGACGCGTGATGAAGATGAAGACGTGGGATATCTGTCAGAGGCCAAAGTCATCTTTGCGATGTTGATCTTGGATCTCCTCTCAACGACGCCACGGTTGAGGTCAGCGGAGTGAAGGATTCAGTCACCCAGAGTGTTTTGCAATGTTGGTAAAACACCTGTTTACATGACAAAACGAGTAGTAGAATAACTCCAAAATTGCAATATTGATGCCTAAGACTGTAGCCTTGGAGCCTATGTGGATGATCAAAACGACATTTTAGAAACAACACACATTTCACATCATTTTACCAACTCTTGGGTGGATTGAACAAAGATGAATAATTTTCCAAATGTTGAAACAACAACTTAAAGGACGTTGACCTAGGAAAACAATGGAAAACATAGTTTCCTATTCGCCCGTGTTGTTCGTCCGGTCGTCCAAGAGTCTCACCGACACTGGCAGTGCGCAATGAAGGGCAATTAACACGAAAACAGTTTCAAACCAAAACGTTGGCAGCGGCAAAGTTGAGGGAATGTGATGTTTTTTGTTGTCCGCTGCTAGGTGAGGTTTGAAGATTGTGGCTTTCCCATTTTCCAGTCATCTTACTTCCCAAGTTCCGCCGGGATCGTCCCCACCGACACGGCGATCCATTCATTCATCCACATCCCAACAAAAAAATCCATGATCTTCTCACGACGATCTCTTATTAGCACCACAAAAACCGGCCTGGCCATGTTTGTCACTACTCCCCAAGCCACCAACCAACAAGGGCATTCGTTTCGTCCCGAACTTGTCCCGAATCACGCTGGTCCACCGGACCCTGGGTGGACAATTCCCAGACCATCCATGTATGGAATAGTTACTTAGGGCCGTATTGCGTCTCCCACCCTTGAGCCAAGCTCCCTTGCTTATGCTTTGCTGGCTACATGTTGCTCATTTGATTTCCCTTCACCCGCTCCACCGGCAGGAGTCAACTTATGCCCTAGAGCAAGCCCTTGCCTTTTTTTGTTTCTCGTGTTTTTTTGTTCACGACACATTGCTCCTCTGCACACATGCGGCAGCTATCCCTGCTCCCAAGTGCTTTCTCTATGCTTGGCGACCCTTAATTACCAGCACCTCGCCTGATAAAATACATGAGGATTGCAACCGACCGACACCCCCCACACAGTCCGCGATCTGTCGTCTGCGGCCAACGATCCCTCGCTTTTCAGCGGTGAAAGGAACCGGAGCGGGCCCTGCACGCTTCAACAAGTGATGCCTTGCTCACCAGGACTAACCAGGCTCAAACCTTTCGGAACATTTCGGAAGATTGCTCAAACGGGCTGGATGCACTCACAGCCGCCCCTCCTCGTCCACCATCCTTGAGGCTGCTTGAAAGGATCGCACCCGCCTTTGAGAGCCTGCCTCGACCATACACGTGATCAATATTTTGAGGACGCGGCCAGAAGTCAACCTCTCACCTCAAGGCTAGACAACATGTAAAAAGAGCGCCAATAAAGCAGCGTGAAACCTTTAGTTTTGGGCATCGGAAAAATGATGTGTCCCAGTGACCCTGCTGTGGGACACCTTCGTGCTCTTCGTGGGACTCCACTTCACGGAACGCTTCCTCGTTCATAGGAGTGCTACCCATCTTTCCAGACAACACTCTCCAAATTCGAGACACTTTCACAAGCAGGCGCTGCCTTGTTTCAGGAACATGAGCAGCTCATGCTGAGGGATGTTCCGGGTTGTCATTGGATGGGAAGACTCATCAAGAGTCGGAAAAAAGATATGTTGCGGTGGCCCAGAGCAACTTGCACCTACAAGACAGAAAACGCTACTTTCCCCCTGAGCTGCGGTAGAAAAGGATGTTCGCAAGCACCACAAAGGCAATTTGTTCAGTCTTTCGTTCCCTACAGGTGAGTCCTGTAATCAGCGGTTGGAGGACTAGCTAGAAAAAGTCGGAGGTGACAGAGAAGGATGAACGTGGAAAGTAAAGGCGTCCTTGCCTGTCTTTTCTTCACAACTCCTGTCTCCTGTGTCTCTGCCTCTCTTCGCCTTATCTTCACAACTCGTGTCTTCCGCGTCTCTCTTCACCTTTTTCTTCACACAACTCGTGTCTTCCGTGTCTCGAAGAGTAGGGAGGAGAGGGGAGAATGGAGAGAGCAAAACGGTGGAGGGCTCCTTCAGCCAGCAGCGGAAAGCAGCGAACTCATCAGCCGGCGCGCGCGGTGCAAAAGGCAAAGCATTGCCTTTGCTTCGTCGAGCTCCATACCTAGAGGAAAAGAAGTGTCGAACTTGTGGGCGCAGTTGTCACGTCCCTTATGGACCCTTTCTTGCATGGTGGCTGCCTTGGACAATCTGCCGTGGAACCATGCAAAGTGCCGTGTGACTCATGTGAGAAGTTCATGTCATCTTGAGCACAGACGACTGGCCGGCGAGTTGAGACAAAGGATCCACTCGTCCGGCGCTCAGGAAGTTGTTTCTACATTCGTTTGAATAAAAACTGTGGCTGCTTTGGGAAGCGACCAAGACCTAGAGAAGCACCCGGTCTGAAGGGCCGAATTCCCATGGATGGTCTGGGCGTAAAGACGTCCGTCTCCTGCTTGAGGAGCGTAAAGTCGAAGTCCTCCAGGTCGGTAAATTCCAACCTCCGTCCGCACCGGCCGCGTCCGCGTGGGCGGAGCGTCACCGCGGAATCGGCCGGAAGGGCCCGGAGCAGGACAAATGAAAGAAAAGCCAAACGGCTTGGTAGGTTGGTAGGTTGCTAGGGGTGAACAACCTGGAGCCCCAAAGCCTGGTAACGTCTGTAGCTTCATCTTTTGATGTTGATTCTGTTCATGTTTGGTGGTCAACCAGGCGGCTTTGGACGCATAGCCATTTGGTGGTAACAGGAATCGGTCTTCGTGTCGTTTCCCTCTTCCGACCCCTCGTTACATGGTAACAGGTACTGTATACCGGGGGGCTCTACTTAGGACTATGAACCTAATCTAATAGAAGTTTTGAGTTTTGACTGGATAATAATAACACGGACTTAATAACCCCCGCCCCAAAAAAGGAATACCTAAGAGAAGTGTTGACTTCAAAAACCCTTAACTAATAACATGGGTTTTTTAATGTATTTGAAGCTTTGGACTGGCTTGCAGTTGGCTCCATCAGACAGTTGGGTATGCGAGAAAGCACTTAACAACCTCATACCAAGACAAGAACATTGAGGCAGCTGCAAGGATGTGACATCTAAAGCGCCAACAAACCTTGGGATAATTTGTTGGACTGCATCCAGTGTTGGATTGTGGGTAATTGGCTAATCTGATCTAATCTGGGTATGGATTCCAAGATCAGGCACCTTATGACTAATCCTAAGTTTCTGCAAGCTTTTGTTGTTCAGTGAAACTGTGAAATTTCTGGGATGGTCCACAGTGGGATGACAGATTGGAGGCAACTGAGGTCGGGCGGAATGGCATACCAATCGAGTCGCGGACCTGAACGAAAGGCCAATAGATGCCAATAGTTTCTGGAATTGCGCTGCGCTTGGATTAAACATCATTTGACGCCCGCAATGTCTCAGTTCTGTTCGGTTCTGTTTACCGTGAGCTTTGCTGCAATGGCCTGATCCGGCTTAAAACCTCAAGTGCTGAGCCTCCGAGCCACCCAGCAAATATTTCTTTGGCTTCCCTCTTAAGAGGTGTGCATGCACCTCCTGAGACACTTAGAGGCCAGTATCCCTCTATCCCACGTATCCAGGAAGGAACTCCAAAAGAGGCCAGTCGGCATGATCAAACCTTCTAAAAGCTGCGTCGTGCGCTGCCACCATCTGCCACTCCACCCCCGTTGGCCACTGCATCCGATCAGCATTTCAGTCACGTTGGCGAAGGACACGTCGGGCCCGCGCGCGGTGCTGGCGCGCCGGGCAAGGGAGGCCTTGGATCCCGGAAGCCTCTTTTGGTCGACCAGAAGCGGTCCTTCAAGATACCCCAAAAACTCCATGGGACTCAGATGGACTCAGTCTGATATACCGGCACCTTCAAAGGGGTCACCAATGGAAGCCCCTACACCACTAAGGGACCTCCATTGGACACCCCGAAAGAAGGTCAAGGTATATATATATATATCATCTGCTGAGCCCAAACACTACAGGTCTCCAAGTTTCGGCTCGCGGACGATTCTTTATTTCCGGGGCCGGGGGAACCATTGAGGTGGTCAAAGAAATCTTCACATGGACCATGGATTGTTTGGGATAACGTAGTGGCTGGATGTGCATATAAGAAACAACCCTGACTCCTTTTGCGTTGGCTAGGAGCTGCTTGGGGCATGCCTGATTCTGGCCTCCAGCAACATGCCAACATCTTATATTATAAGGGATCTCGACCAAAATGAAGTTCGTGAACATTCCAGCACCGCACTGCCCAAGAACCTGATCATTATAATACATTCTCATTACTACCTGCAAGGCTCGGTATCAGGAGTTTCACTCCACTCTTGGCACATCTTGGCATCCACTTTTCGGCGAACGCAACGGGAGAAATGCTCCACAAGTCTTGTTCTTCCCCGCAGCCCGGGGCCCCGTACGATTCGCAAGACCCGCACGAACTGAAAGATCACGCGCGCCATGACCAGTGACCTGGGAATGGTGCGTGACGGGCTCAAACGAAACACCCCAGCGCTACCTGAGAGGGTAGGAACCTGTGGCAAACTCCATGAAGCAAACACTCCATGTATGGAATCATACCTATTCTATGCATGGACTATTATAACAACCCCAATGTCGGTAAATTATATTAGTAGCTAGAAGCTACTAGTAACAAGGGCATTACATGGAGCGTCTGAGTGATACTCTCTGTACTAAATCCGAATTGTCAATGGCTGCCCTGGCCACATGACCTGCTGGCGTGGATGGCTACAGTCCCTGGAAGAATCATGGAAGTGGATAGCATTGGCCCCTTGGATGACCCTGACATCCTCTCCAAATTTGCTGGTGCCATCCACTTCCATGTTAAGTCCAGGAAGATTCACATGGAACCTCCTTCACATGGAGCGCCGAGCGCTCGTGGCATGTTAAAGCTTCCCAAAAACCTGTGGATTTCAGATGTCTTCAGGTCAGCTCATCTTCCAAAGGTGTAATGACTCAGAGAGCACGGGCTGAGCTCGGCACCCACCGGGTGAGCTCGTGAAACACCATTAAACAACGTCAGCCGAGGAATCAAAAGAACCATGAGCCTGATCAAAAACACCATGAACTCAACTGAACCGTCAACCGTCAACCCATGAATCAAGCATCCAAGAAGCATCCGAGCATCGGTTCACCGACTGACTCTTTCGACCCGTGCCCCCGAGCTGACTGAGCTCGACATCCTCCTTCTGCGCCTCTCCGGCAGCCCTTGGGGCCTCTGACGTGGCCCAGCTTCGTGTCGGAGCCATGCAACCCCATACGATGCCACCGGGTGATGCGCCCAAACACTAATCTATGGCATTTTTTCCCTCTGAATCACTGAATCCACCCCAAAGATTCCAGTGAGTGTTTGGGTATAATATAAGTCCCAGGCTGCAGGTAAAGATTCCAGTATCATGGAGTGTCTGGGTGTCTGGGCGCATACGCACCGCCGCGAAAAAGCCCAAGACCCCGCTTCGCCGACTCCCACATCTCGCATGATCATGTCCTCTCATAACGTTGACATGGTCAACAAAAATAAAGAACATGTAAACTGAGCATGTGGCTGCAAAGAAGAAAAGACCTGGCAAACGACCGTGCTTTCGTGTCGGGTTCGATCCTCTGCAGTCTGGTTTTTTAGAACGATTTTTTTTACCAGCGATTGTTGGCTTTTGGTTTTGGTGTCATGCAACCAACAGTCTAAAGATGCAAATGGTTCATCATTGATTGATTTGCAGTTGGTGTCCTTGTGCTCCGACAAGGTTTTGTCCAGGCGTTGCAGGTGAGTGAGCTGGTTGGATCCCAAAGACTCCATCTGTGGAATACTTGAATATTTATAAATAGTAATGTGTATTTACCTACTATATGGACCCCTGAAACCATCCCAATGGAAATGTAGGAAAATATGCCATATATAGCTTGCCAGGGCATGTTCAACTCCTTGATGTCTGAGATCCACTGCAAACGGACCGAATGAATTCTCTGCACAAATGGACGTACGGATGTGGGTCAAAACATGTCAAAACCACACACACCAAGATCCCCAAGCATACCCCAGTGAGCAGTGAGCATCTCAAAACAAAAGAAAACCGGGAATGTTTCAACCATGTAACCATGGTCTGGTGATGCTTGGTTTATCTCGATGTAGTTTGGATCCCAAGCCAAAACAAATAAACAAGCACATGGCCTCGAAACATCTTCCGAAAGCAAGATCCTAAGTGATATCCTAAGTCAAGTATGCCAAAACAATCAAATACCATACTTTCATCCGTCTTCCTCGATTTACCTCTGATTTGTTCAACAAGTGAACGTCTTCGATCTCTGCCGCGCACCGGAGCTGAGCACGGCAAGGCTGCCATCCACCGCGTTCCACCTGAACGACGCTCCCGGACGCTCCCTGAGGCTGCAAAAAAACAAACAATAAAACAAAAATAGAGTAAACAAAAACAACATATATATATAGAATAGTATTGAACATTGTAAAATCACACGTTTAAAGCAGAAAAACCATGAAAAAACCATATCATAAAATAGAAATCACAGCAAATCACAGCAATATAGAAATTTGAAACAACACTAAAGAAACGACGGCGGAGAAGTCGAAGGCAGGAGAAGAAATAGATTGGTTTTGGGAAAAAATGAAGGCAGCCAAAAAATGGCAAAGATCCAGCAGGTGAACCATGGTTGGTGGAATCAATGCTCATGAAGCTGAGGTAAACACCAGGGATCCAGTAGGTATGGAGGTCCAAGTGTTTCTCTTTCTCTTGCCTCTGGATGACAGGTTGATACATGATGATACATGTTGATAACTATAAGCTCTTATTGGAGTCATGGCCACATGCTCAAAAAAGGTAAGCTGGGGAGTCCGCTGGTCTAGAGTCTATAGTTCTCATTTGTTTTGAGGATGAGTTGGATCTGTTTTTTTAAATAGGGAGACACCCTGGCCCAGGTAGACAAGTCTATTTTCCTTCTTCCAAGGGGGTCAAAATGGTCGAATTGGGAGGTCTTCCTATTCTAGACACACTCAGTTCACTGTGGGTCAAACCCGGAAAATCCTTACATGTTGGGGCTCCAGGTTTTGATGGGAGTCAGCATTGACCATGTGACGAAAGGCCAAAGGCCGGATTACTCGTCGATGACAAATCCCAATCCAGCCAATTTCTTTGGATATGATTTGCTTCGTGCGCCCCGAAGTGCATCCAACGGCCAAGATTCGACCATCCCTTTGTATTATATGACATATATGTGTTTCAATCCATTTTTAAGGCACTATTGATCATCATTTCAACACGCGCTGAGTTCACCCAATGTGCCAGGTCCTGCGTCAACGACTTTCCTGTGAAAGCCCCATCAGAAGATATCAGAAGTGGTCGATACATAGTACTAGCAACTTAGACGCTGACCTCTGCAGTTCCACGGAAATTGAAGCGTAAGCGGCTCAAAATGGCTGATCCTTTTCCTTCGCTTTCATTTTGGAAGGTCTTCCTTACGGAAGGTCACGAAACAGAACGGCCCTTCTGAGGTTCTGGCCAAGACTTCAAGTAGTTTCGGCCTCCAAAGGTTCTGGGAACTGACTCTGACCGTGAAAGTTATGGTCCAACTCGCGCAGTCGCGGTGTGTTCTCAGAGTGTCCGGAAATGACATGAAGTTTTTGCTGGGGGTTGTAAATTTGTAGATCAAGCATTTTCTGGAGGATGTAAATCAAGTAGTGCCATGTAGTGCTCATCTGTTGCCAGTCACACAAATTGCCAATAAATTGAAAAGTGAGGCCCGTGCAACGAGACTTGTCACATCCCTTAACCCCCAAGTCCCACGCGTGACCCACCCCGCGCCGGTCTCTCGCGTCTGGCAGGGGGCGCATCGGACAGCCTTGTACGATGGCACGGAGAATCACCTCCACCACCAAGGACAAGGTGATGATGCCCTGCACACCGCGGGATACACCGCGGTCAGGTCGAACGAAACCACCAGGTCGACCGAAACGGCCTTCTGGGTCGTTGGGCGGTGCTGCTCCCAAGAAGCGAGAAATTGGCATCGAACCAAACGTCCTACAGAGGCCCTACATGTAGGACCCACCCATTGCCCCACAAAAACATTAAGGATAAAGACCCATCATCAAAACTTTACCGCAACATGGTTCAACATGTCAACTTTGTGTGGAAATTATCCGCTCATATCCGCTCTTCTCTAAACATCTACAGTTAAGTTTTAAACGAACCTAAAACACCGGGCCCCATCGGCTGCCACCGCCTCCAAAAACAGCAAAGCTCTTGGCGCGTCGCGCAGCGGGGTTTCCATGCCCAAGGTGATGCACAAGAGCAGTGCCGCCTGGGGGCGATGCGAATGGCGCCACTGCTTCAAACGGGTCAACAAAGCTTAAAGAAGTGCTCGGTGCATCTAGTCATACATACCCTACACCTCCAAGTACCTGCTCAGAAGGTATTTGGACCCTCCAAATCCACCCCAGTCCCACCTTCTCAGAAGGTACTTGGAGGCCTACAGGGATAGTCATATTAAAGTCATATTGAGGTACTTGGAGGCCTAGGTCTCAGACCACGGACAGCTCGAAAGTCAAGAGCACATAGTGAAAAAAAAAAAAACACTCCGATCAGACTCGCCACAGCTTGGCACACATGCGGGAATCAACCAACGGGGCCATTGCCCTCCATCTTAACTTGGTTTGTTGCGCTTGCCTGCAAATTAGATGCTAGTACCAGTACCAGACTTGAAATCCTGCAAACCTGTGCTGTTTCCAAGTGTCGTAGGGCGGCGCCTACCTTTGGGGTGTTCGGGGGTCGGATTTCGTCCATGTGGCTGACGGGAGAGGCCACCATCTGACGGGTGACAGGTTGCGCCAGGCAAGAACACCACGGCGGCCGCTCCCTACAAATTGTGTAACTCTCAAAGAGGTTGATTTGTTTTGTTGGTCCGATTTCCATTGACCTGTAGCTCCGGTGTTCGCAGTTTTGGCTTGTGGGCTGGGTGTGTGTGCTGAGTGGGGGTTCTGGTGTTTCGTGTGATGCTTCGATGAGTTCCCAGCTTTGGGCGGCTACAGCGGAGCAAAGCGCGACACACGTTGTTGAGACCCACGAACCAGTGCGCACAGTGTGTGTGTGTGTGTATCACACTTTCGTTGTGTTCTGTTGAATGCCTTTGTGTCTAAACATTCCCCTTAGATCCGTATGATTGAACACGCAAACAGACATATTTTCTTTATGTAATTACTTGACGTATGTCATGTCTCGTCGGCTCATCGTTGGGTGTTCATGTTTTCATGTGTTCAAGTGTCCAAGCACATCCCAACATAACATGTAAACTTACAACTTCTGACTTCGGATGGCAATTCATGTTTGACCTTCTCAAGAGACTCCGCAGCAAAAATGGTCGACAACCTCAAGAATTCAGTTTATTAATGATAGGTATCGATGGGTATATATGTCATGACCTTTGTGCGCGTCAGCATGCTGAGCATGCTAGGTCTCATCAATCACAAAGCCAACACCGCCAACACGGTGAGATCCCATGGGTCGGGTGAGCGCCATGGTGAGCGCCATGGACTTGTCGTGTTTGTCATTGGACTTCTCACTTGCCGGCACTGGCTTGTGCCTTGCCAGGTCACGAAGCTACCCCAATCAGCGTCATTTTTGCATGTGTGTAGGACAATCCAGCTAGCCCCAGCAAATGCACGTTGGTTTCCCTATAGATAGTTTAAAGACTTGGTTGGAATTCTTCAAGTAAGACCTTGGATCAGTGGACTGCCCGGGGTGCCAAGGCCAGACCCTCCAGCAGCTGGGATTCAGGCGAGCACCATGGTGGCCAGGTACAGCCCGGCCGTAATCTGAGAGTAGTAGAGGCGGGCCTCGTTTTCAGCACCAAACTGGGCACCTGACGGTTTGATAGTAACTCTATGAGAATGGGATACTTTGATAATAATCTTGGAACGTTGTATGCCATGCACGACGCTCACACAACCCAAGACTACTAGCGCAACGGAGAATACAAGACCAGCTCTTATAGCTGGGTGTTCGAACCTCCACAACATTCCTTTTCAATCCTTTTCAGGGCTGGCAGTCAACACCTCAGCCTCAGCCCATAACATTGGGCACAGGAATGCGCTAAAACTATCTAAAACTTGTGGCAAAACGGTATTCTAGCACCCTTTTGAGATGCAACAAATCTTCGGCTAAAGTGTTGGCTAGTTTGAGTCCGCCAGGCCGCCACCCAAACAACCTGCGGATTTGTTCGCTTCGATCGCAGCAACAGGACCAACAGGTTGCATCAGCCATCGGCTTGGCAAGTGAAAAAGAAGCGAGGTGCAAAAAAAAAAGTGGACCGAGCACCACCTCCATATCATTCCATGTCATGACAATTCAATGACCAAGAGGCATGTGGGACTCAAACGATTCGTTTGACCTCCCTGCACTCTGCACTCTTCGGCACCCTCGCTGCATGCGTCTCCTCCCGGTCCCCCGGTCCCCCGGTCCGAGGAGCCACCACGCCGCGGAGCAGCTCGAGCGACGGATGCGGCTGCGCGGCTCGCTGCTTTGGGCGCTCGATGAGGGCTTCGTCCTGGACGGGTCCACCGGAGAAAAGGAGGGTCCTTTGTTACCACGATGCGTAGGATGTGACCCAAAATTAAAAAGAAATTGAACATGGTAAGTCATGGCCCAAATGGTTGTCATCATATACATGAGCTTACGAATCGTCTCCGGTGGGAGACGATCTTCGAAGAGACATGCCCTGACAACCCAAAGAATGCTGTCCCACACTCATAGGACATGGACGCGATAATCTGCGATTCATGAGCCGTGCCCTCTTCACTGGTTCAGCCCAACAAAACCGACTGGATTCTTTGCCATCTGGTGTTCAAGCTGCACAAAGGGGGACACAAAATGTCACTAGGCTAGGCTAGGTCTTGCTAGCTCATCCGTGTGGCTGAAACAGTCACCATACCATCATGTGCCACCTTCTCATCCGTGGATTCCAAGGTTCGGATGCAAAAGCGACAGGAAAACACCCTGGATTCCCCTCACAACCGTGTTTTCATACCCTACAAGTACTACAAGTCAGGAGCTGACTTCATTGCCAACTGGACATGGTCATACCAAAACCGATACCGACCGACCAGGAGACTGGACCGTTCGAACGGGCTACGTTCGAAGGTGGGGAACCGAAAGGGAGCTAAACTCCACGTTGGCTCGGGCTGGGACTGTTTGGGAGCTAAAGGTCCTCGGAGTACCTCCCTACGACGATCTACCAAACCACCCTACGACGTACCTCCCTTTGAATAGGCAATTTAAAGGGAAACAGCTCCATTTGCAATGATGATTGCCAGGAGATCGGGAATGGAAACCTCTTAGGGGGGGGTGTACGCCATGTGGTGGTGGTCACTGGTCACGGAGTCATGGCAGTCCTCCTCATCATCATCCCAAGCGCTCATGCGCGGGGTGACCAACACGTGAGGAAGAAACTGTCGTAAGCAGTCCCACGTCGACCAGCATGGATGGCTCGCCGCATTGTTCGGCGTGTGCGATTCATCTTTGCATCTCTGAAGGTGAGGGACTAACAAACAAGGAAGGAGGACTTGTTCATAAGATTTCATAAGCATATTTACCTGTCCATGTTCGTTGACCAAGAGTCGACTTGTCTTTTTGTTGTTGCTGGTGTTTCACAGCTCATGCGTTGCACATCATTGGCATTGTCGGTTTGTGAGATGTTGGTCTTGGCAAACGGACCGGCCGCCTGGTGGTTTTTGGTATCAGTGAGTCTGTGAGTCGTACATTGTATCGGAAGGTTTCTCTTGAGCGTGTGTTCAAGTGGCAATATAATATTGGTGTACATATGAAGGAGGGTTCATCCCATGGGAGGAAGTTCTTCAGTTTTACTCCACAAAAGCATTAAATGCCATGTGCAGGCAAATTTCAGCTTTCCTCTATAGAAGCAAGATCAAGCAAGTGGCTTTGCGCTCCTACCTCCGGTCTTACTGTTCAACCTGTATCATTGTTCGAGAATGGTGGCCGTGGAATGTCCTTGAGTTTGAGGCTGCCCAGCGACCCGTTTCAGTGGTGACTCTCGGCTCAAGCAACAAACACTGCGGTCGTGGAGATGTTTCCGGAGTGCGACCGCAAAGCTCGAAGTGATTCTTAGTTTGAGAGCGACCTGTGGAAGATGTCTTCAAGGGCAACATGTGGAAGATGTGATGACTTATTTTAATCGTTCTTACCAGTTCTGAGGGTCTCCGCTCTTAATGAGAGACTCTGATGAAGGAAGACATGTGAATGTCCCTCTGTACCAAATGGAAAACATGGTGATTAAATTGTCGACACTTCACGTGTGGAAAATTGAAGATCAGTGTGGGTTGAAAAGGGGCCGATCTTATTCCATCCCGATGAAATCAGAAGGTACCGCTGGACCCTCCAGGAACATTTGTGTGTAGCTCAAACAGGGAGACCCCCTTGAGTTTGGTTCGGGACATGGTCGCCGATTTCGGGGATCTCGGGATCTCCCGGAGTTTGAAGATGTTAAAATTCCGGTTCGGGGATATGAATATTGTGTCAAATATATATGTATTGGTTCTCAGAACTCCAAAGGGGTTCATATGCAACCTGGAGTTCTGGTCTTCAAACTCCTTGTGTGACAAACGAATACAAAACCCCTTTGGAGGTTCTTCCCCACCCCCCAACCACCTCCTTCCCCGCCTTGGCGCGGACTTTGGGCCTCACAAGTCCGTCCAAGTCGTCGCTGGGAGTGTGACAAAGGACGGCAAAGGAGAAGGTTGACATGTGTGATTTCGTCTGTTTCCGAGTTTGGCCAAACCTTAGATCTTGAAGGCCTACAAGTCTTTAGACCTTGGATGTGTTGCCAAAGCGATAATTTCAAACCTTAGACCTTAAAGACTGGGAGTTGTTTGGACTTATTAGACTAATATATGAGGACCTCCCTGTTCGGCTTTTCCCACCGGGCTTGCCCGGGGATGGGAACTGGGAAAAGAACTTGGTCCGAAAACACCTGGAAGTGCATTACATGCATAATTACAATATAACAATGTAAATATATGGTTGCATGATATGTAAATATATATATATATACACATGTTCTATACACAATGAGTATATATGCTTGTATGTACAAATATACTTGTATACATATATATATATATACACATGTCATCTAAACTGCCCTGCAACTGGTCTTCTATGACATGTGTGTTCCTTTGGATACCTTTGGTCTGGTTGTTGCAGGGACTGAGACTGTCACCCAGTCTCAGAAAAGAAACACCCGATCCGGCAGTTTCCCGCGGTTCCTGTGCAGTTCGAGAGACCTTGGCATGGAGATGTTCGATCTCCTGAGCATGATGAGTTCCAGGAGGTTCACACTACTGCCAATGGCAGAAGGATTGAACTGAAAAACACGTGTCTGATGCTTGAACAGAACCCAAGAACCCATGCTGTGCAAAAACAAAGGAGAACAAGAAACAAACAAACATTTCTCCCAGAATTGGTTTAAGGGAAAATCTACAGGAAACCATGGTTTTCCATCCCCAAAACTATGGGTTTCCTGTAGGATTTCGCATCCTTTGCAATCCTCGCCGGTCGGCCTTCTTGATCTTTTCCAGCTCTCGCCAATGGCTGACGTGCGGCGGAACCTGGCAGGTAGCCAGTGACATTGGTTCTTTCTCGACCAATCGATGTTTGGGCCACATCCAGTCAGGTCAAAAGACTCAGGGCGCCTTTGAACACGGCCTCAGCTGGGACTCGGGAAGTATACCGGGACTTGGGACGCCGCTCCGTCCGACACTAAACAAGCACGCAGGCGTGGTAGGCCTGGCTGCAACCTGCAACCTACAGCCTCTTTCTGTGCAACATGAAGCGTCACTTCAGGCACTTTTGATCTTCTCCGCAGAGCCTTCTTCTTTGCACCTTTGGTTGCACCTTTACCTCAAACACACGTCACTTCCAAGTTCCTACGGCGCTCGCTCTCTTTACTACGGCCTTCTTGTCTGCCCCCTTCTCTGTGTCACTGCCCAAGAACATGAGGGGTGTGGCCCTCCAAAACGTCGACACGAAGAAAAGCCCCACAGAGGCGGGTGGACACATCCATTTCCAGGGACTACTACCCAAAACGTCAGCCACATGCTTTACCTCATCTCCGCCCTCACAAAATAGCTCATGTCACGGAGTAGGCAGGTTCCATCCTGCAGGTGCCCGCGGCTCTGTTATTTCCTGCCAGCAGCCCCCAGCACCAGCCAGCTCCAGGTCACCTCCTGCTCTGGGTCACTGCTGTGATCATCCTGCTGTCATCGCTGGCGTGAGAGTGCTGCACTCCAAACATGGTGAGATCATTGGGAAGAGGTGCAACCCAGGTGGCATTGGATGGTAGATTCCGTTGCTAGGTTGGGAGCCAAAAGCCAAAAGAAGTGCATTGTAGGATTGAGCTAAGATAGATCACCGAGTAGCTGTTCGATTTACCTTAGCAAATTGTCAATGCATGGTTGCGTTTCCGACAAGCACATGCCGTGCCTCATGCCTCGCCTTAAAGACTGGCAGGAGGCTCCGCGGCCTCTTACCGACGCGGGGTTCAGGCTGGCGCATGGAGTGTGGCACCAACAGAGAGGGGAACCTGGAAATCTACTCTGCAACTTGGTGTTTAGCCTATCTACAGCCAAATCACCACCCAAAAGCGGCATTGAAGGTCACTTGAATAACACATCTCAGACTTGAGCAATCTTGCCAGCAACAGTTTCTCTGTTTTTTTTGTCTTCCTGTCTTTCCAGCTGTTGCCATTTTCTTTGAGCGCCGCCTTGGAGGTGTCATGGCACGCCGTCGGGCTTCCGTTCGACCTCGCGCTGCTCAGCCCCGCAGACGTCAGCAATCCGGGGGTTGATGATGTGGGGTGAGGTGATCGATGTTGATTGATGTTAACATTGATGTGACATGATGTTAACATTGATGTGACGTGATGTTCTAATATGTCAGAAACATGCATTCTGAATCTCTGAAAGGCAAACACAATCACCTTCAGTTTCCAATTGTCCTGTTCAGTTAGCCAACGGAATTCGGGAGGATCGAGAACCCACTGAGCCATGCGTGACTTGCGCAGAACTGGAGTCTGGGATGGCTTCAAATACTGAGGGTGTACAAGAACACATGATATACACAGATTTACGTAGTTTTAGGCCTGAAGTGATGCAATTCAGTGACCTGAAACCTGAGCCCCATCCCGTCATCTGTAAGAACCAACAAGCAACGACAACCTTTGCCACATCTTTTGTTGCCGACAACTACGAGTGTTCCCACACTCCGCCAGATTGAACACGAGAAAATTGAAAGCCCCTACCCTTTCCAAGCACAAAATGAGGTCTTCGTTGTTTTGTAGGAGTTCTAAGGCAAACACCTGTACACACCAAACTTCCAGTCAAAGTTGTGTCACTACCAACCACAAAGACAACTGTTGTACGTAGATCAAGTGAGATTGACATGACATATCATAAATATATAATATATAATATTTACTGTATGTATACACATGTACTGTACATTGACTGTACAATACGGTACATGTAGATACACTTCTAAACAAATTTATCAAATGAACACACGTCCCGTCCCAAAGGTTGCCCTAATAACACTACATATCTAGGAGATTCTGGGTCTCTCATAAGTGGTGTGCTCCACCCACAAATACAGGCAAAAAAAGAAGCACCTATGAACATCCATTGGTTCAGGGGTCGAATTCCTTTGAGGCAGAATGCCCTTTGTATGACGATGTCCATGTGTTCCACCGCTTGCTGAGCTTGGCTTGGATTGTAGGTTGGGCCAGCATCCACGCAGTACTCTCAAGCACTCGCATGTCCCACGCGCACGGTCTCCATGCCTCGCGCCGGAGGAAGCTCTAACATCTCACAGACCTGTCGCAAGCGCAACTGTGTGTGCAGACTTGCCAAAGTGTGGCAACCACCTTCATTCTTCAAGAAGATAAACCAGTCCTTTTAAATTCTCAGACATCCCACATTCACCAGACCCTGCAACAGGGGAGAGGGAGACTGGCCAAACGGAAGGTTCTGGCGCAGGACGACCATGTTTTCCGGCGCGTCTCAGAGTACATGTCTGAGAGAGGCTAGATCGTCTCAACTCAAGCGATGTTCGGACAATCGCAACGTCTGCCCAGAGAAAGGTCACTCATGACAACCCATCATGACTGTCAATATGTTGCAATTGCTTGGCCAATCAACACCCATCCAAAATCGTTCTTCTTTTTTCACACCCCGATCCTCACCACCTGACCCTGCTCACCAGCCGCGGCCTGGGGACTGTCCGGGCTCTCGGGCATCAGGCCTGCCATTCTGTGTGCAACGGGCGAGGGGCCTCGATGAAGTGACCGCCTGGGTGGATGCATTGGCCTCCAATGGAATCTACAAAGATCACAGACCCTATTTTTGGGTTGGACTAATAAAGACAACCAATAAGGATGGTTGGATCCACCGGCGGACCAATCATGACCGGATGGTTTTGTGGGATTTACCTGGACCGAAACAAACAACAACCAATCTAGACATATCTATACATATCTATAGATCTAGAATAGTGTTTGGTCAGATTTTTTGGAAACCCTTTGGCCCTTTGGGTCTCCTGGTAACTCAGAGTCAGAGTGACCGTGTACTCGAGACGTGTACATCTTGGTTCTGGTTGGTTTGGGAAAACGAGGCACCCCTTTGGTTGTGAAGACTGGTACATGGCCCAAAAAACATCAAAAAGCATCAAAAAGCCCATGAGCCACTGCGCAAGTCGGCACCAAACGGGTTCCGAAACGAACCATCTGCCGCATCCAATGGCGGGACGACGTGAGACTCGGCACGCTTCGTCCGCTTGCCTGAGGAGACCAGCATGGGCACCGGGTGTGGGCCTCAGACCGGGCTCACGGGGCGCAGCGCACTCGGGTCACACCACGTTGCTTCGCTCCCTCGCAGAAAAGGAGCAAGAATTGGCCAACAGCTGGGGGACGATGCAAAAAAGAACATGTCTCCACCAAGCACATCCCCCTGAGCCACTGATACACTGCAAGTCACGGAGGTCGGACACATCGTCAGAGCGTCAGACTGACCGACGGAGACCGACCGGTCGGTCCGAGGTCAGGCTGCAACGTCGGCACCTTTGTTTCAACTCGGAATCACTCACCTGGCAGGTCGCCGAAAATCCTGCTCCCTTCCCAAATGCTCCCAATCACCAACCAACCTGTCCGTCACTCCCCCCGAACTGCCACCCCCCCACCGGTGCCTGTCGCGACGCGACGCGTGCATGCCTGACGTCACGAAGTCGTGGCAGTCTGGGAACACCAGGTCAGCGTAGCTCACCTGGCACCGAACAGCACCACATGAGTTGGGACAATGAATTGGTTTGATTAAGGGAACATCTGCAGGAAACCTTGGTTGAATCACCCCCTTGTCGACCATGGCTTTCCTGTAGATGTTCCCTTAATACTAAACTCAAACTATCTATTGTGTGGGGATCCATCTCGCTTGGACTACTTTAGTAACTTTAGTAGGAGGTCATGTCACAGTATCTTGTTCAGACTACTTTAGTGGCAAGTCACTGTATCTTGTTCGGACTTTAGTGTCATCACAAAAGTATACCGTTTTTATGCGGGGGGCCTATCGCGTTCACCAGCGAATACGGATGTTGGACAAACACATAGAGCATGCCGTCGACTACGTTAGCCAACACCAAACAAAGTGGTTGCTGTCAATTCCTGCATATCGCATACATGTGTTTGAATGATTTTCGTCCGACCGACATATCTCGGATCAATACAGGGCCCTTGACGCCACCCCGTGCTACGACATATGGAAAACAGGTGACTCGTTGACGACAGAACTTGGCCGAGACTTCGTGGGCTTGTGAACATCCAAGTTGATATTGGTAGCGGAGCTGGCGACGCTCCTCCCAAAGTATTCGGACGGTGATCTTTGTGTTTGAAGAGTTCCTGAAGATCTTGTGAAAGGGTTTTGAGGTACTCATCTCACTGTTCGTGTTCGGCGAGGCAACACTATGTCTCAAGCTTTCGGAGGGGCAGAGCGCAGTTCGCCTAGGAGATACGCAGGGACCAGACGCGCCAGAACACCTCGTGATCAAGATTTCCCAGAAGAACCACGAGAACGAGCAAATGGTGGAAGACCCGACACTGGTGGAGGCTTCAGAGGACTGGACTCAGGACTGTCTAAAGCTTGCCCTTCGACAGATGGTTTGAACCAGAAGAACTACAGAAGTTTTCGACGACGTGTTGAGTTGTTCGAAAGACAGTGCCATCGTCGCAGTGTTGATACGGCAGTTGAGGGTGCATTGTTACTCATTTCAAGGTTGCAAGATTTAGCTTGGGATTCAACAGAACAGATTTCTTTCGAAGCATTGGAACGCAGTCCAACGCCATTTACATTCGTGTATGAGATTTTGGACAATTTGTATCAGTACGAACAACAAGTTGAAGTGCCATCCCGTTGTGAAGAGTTCTTTGCAGAGTTCCAAAGGATGAAGAATGAAGACATGACTTCATACCTGGTCAGGCATCGAACATTGGTGAAGCGCATGAGGGATGTTGGTGTTGAAGTACCAGCCCTTCTCAGCGGCTGGCATTTGTTGACACGTGCTGGAGTTCCAAAGTGGACACACGTTCAAGTCAAAGCATTGTGTGGTGGTGACTTGGACTATGAGAAGGTTCACAAAGCTTTGATGAAGATGTTTGGCGGTGACCACAAGCCGAATCCAAAGGACCTTCAGAGGACAACAACGACAACAGAGGTATACTTTGAAGATGATTATGAAGTTGTCGATGACGAAGGTTACTATGGTGAAGAAGACACAGGCGATTGGTGGGAAGAAGAAGTGAATTATGAAGAGTGGCATGACGAAGAAGAATGGACAGAAGATCTTGAAGAAGCAGCGGATGCCACAGAAGAAGCTTACATTTCCTACCTGGACAGTCGTCGAAGGATGAGAGAATTAGCTCTTTCCCGAGGATTTTACCCAGTTGTGGCCATTGGTCCTGAAGCAGATGGTCGCAGTCAGAGCAAAGGAAAAGGAAATGGAAAAGGAAGCTCAAAAGGAAAAGGAAAGGGCAAAAGCTTCAAGGGAAAAGGAAAAGGTAAAGGAGGTGGTTTTCGACGCACCTTCGACAACAGACGACCCATGTCAGGTTTGAGGAGACCTACATCAAGCACAAATGCAAACAGCAGTGACGTGAAGTCAACCCTGACAGGTTCAACCAGCAGTCATGGCCCCAGATTCAAAAGGTTTCGTGTGCAGTCAAGTGGTGTGAAGGAGGTTCCAGAGGAACAAGTTTCGATGGTGGAGGAGACGGCCACCGTTGATGAGTGCTACTTTTCCTCCTTGTTGCCTGGTAGAGCGATCGTTGATTCAGGTGCAACCAGGACAATTGTTGGAGAAAAGGTTTGGCAAGGATGGTTGGAACATGCACAAGATTTGCCAGTACAGGTCACGCAGGTTTCAAGAGATTTCAAGTTCGGAGGAGGTGAAACGCTTCGTTCAAGCTACGACATCACCTTCCCGGTACAGGTACGTGGACAAGACCTGAGCGTGACTGCATCGGTGGTTCCAGGAAAGACTCCTTTCCTTCTGGCAAGACCTACGCTGGAAGAGTGGAAGGTGCAACAGGACTATGCAAAAGGCAGTCTGAAGATCAAAGATTCAGATTGGTTCCAACCGGAAAGAGGTCAAAAGGGACACTACATCGTGAACCTCCTGCAGCTTTCCTCAGAAGCATTGGGAGTTGAAGAAGTGTTGGCCATTCCAGAAGATGTTGTCGTGCAGTGGCCCGTACAAGATGATACATGGTACATTGAACCTTCCACAGAAGCGGAGGCAACCGGAGAGCTGCCCCTCGTGGAGTTCGAGATTGAGGATGACACCATGATCGAAGAAGCCATGAAAGCAGTGGAGACCGACAGGTGCATGACTTTCTTTGAAGTCTACGTGGATGAAGGCCAGTTGTCGCAGAAGCTTCTGAACAAGTATGCAGATGTGAGTGTGGCCAATTTTTCTTTGCCAGAATGGGACTTCAAGAAGAGTCATGTGAGAAAGGAGTTTTTGAAGTTGATGAGAAAAGAACGGCCTTTGCATGTGTGGTTAGCTCCACCTTGCACCAAGTGGTCCGTCATGCAGAACTTGAATGCATTGACGGAAGAAGGAAAAGAAAAGCTGATGAAAGACAGAAGTGAGGAGGAAGAGTCTCATCTCGTCTTCGTGACACAGGTCTTTGAGGTCGGAAAAGAAATTGATGCTGGAGTCAGCTGTGAACATCCTCGTGGAGCCAAGTCTTGGGAGACTGAGACCATGCAGAAGCTGAAGGAAAGATCGGTGATGGATGCCGAGTGTGATCGCTGTCGAACAGGTCTAGTCTGCCGAGACAGTGGAGGAAATGTGTTGGGAAAAGTGAAAAAGCCAACACGCATCAGAACAAGCAGTCCCTTCGTATATAAGCTCTTCATTTGCAATGCAAATGTCACAATGGTGAGCATGTGAGAATGGAGGGGCGATCCACGGCTTTGAAGAGAATGCAAAACTACGAAGGTGGCTTCACAGAAAGGGCAGCAGACGCCATTCATCAAGACATGTTGAAGAGATGGCAGGCTCAAGAGACCTTGAAGATCTTCATGGCCGACGAGCTCGATGAGATGGAGATTGAAGAAGAGCAGAAGAAAGAAAGAAAAGGCAACGAAGAAGACAAGGAGATGATGAAAACGCATGGAAAAAAGGCACTCCAGATCGTGAACAAATTGCACAAGCAGTTGGGTCATCCCGGAAATGACAAATTGGTGAAAGCATTGCAGGATGCCAAATTCCCAGAAGAAGTTGTGGGATGTGCTAGAAAGTACAAGTGTGACATCTGTCAAGGAGAAGCATTGAAAAAGAGCGCCAATCCAGGTACTTTGACAGAAGCCACCTACTTCAATGAGATCATCGAGATGGACACTTTCCACATGAAGTGGAATGATGAAAAAGTTCGCATCCTGGCAGTCATTGATTTGTTCACGAAGTATGAGGTGAACGCATTGTTGCCAAGAGAAACAGAAGAAGCAGAACTGCAAGTGCTGGAGGAGTTATGGTTCCATCCTTTCGGCTTTCCAGGTCGATTGAAGACAGATGCTTCGGGAGCACACATGAGCCAGAAGTTTCTGGACGTCATGGACCAATACAAGATCAAGCTGGTGTTGATTCCAAAGGAGGCTCATTTCAAAATGGGTACTGTGGAAAGATTGCATGCAGTGAGGCGTCTACAGTTGCTGAAGATGAAGAAAGAGATGCCCAATGTTGATCTGCAGCAAGTAATTCGGACAGCATGCACACAGCGCAATCGGCTACGCAACATTCATGGCTCATCACCAGCTGACTTGGTCTTTGGCAGAGCTCCCAATGCATTGGCAGGTCTCATTGATGAACCTCAAGATCTACGACCAGATTTGCCGGCAGCAGCTCAAGATTTAGTATAGGGGATCACGAGTGGATGGCATTTTTGGCTGTACACAAGTAGATGGAAATGGAGGGTTGCATTACTCTTACCGGGACCTATGTGTTGTTCGAGAATGCCATCTATGTGTTCCTGAAAAGCCGGGGTGGTTTCAGCAACGTTCATCTGCATTTTCGGATTTTTTGTAAAGGGGTGATGGGGGTTGGAGCAAGCAGCTGGGAAACAACATGTGCACCCAAGGTTTCTTTCCTCTTTCTTTCCTCTTCCCAAGGTGATACACTTGCTCTGTACTGGTGATATTGAAATGAATTCCTCTGTACTGGTGATATTGAAATGAATTCCTCTGTACAAAGCTTCGCAACTGGTCCCGGCAAAGCTCCATATGCCATCAACTGGTGGCATCGTTTTCATATTGGTCCCAGCTCCAAGCCAAAGCTCTCTCAAGCTGGGTCTGCTCATCAGGCTGTCCGATCTCACACCATGTGAAACAGCGGCTGGTCCTGTCTCCATTCACGCTCCGATAGTGGATTTGGAAACAGCGCCGAGGTCTGCGCAACTGAAGCCAAGATCTAGGAGCCGCCATTGAACGTAGATCAGCTGGTGTTGCCCATGAGCCAGCAGCAGCCTGAAGGTGACTGGAGCTTGCTGAGCTCGAGAAATCTGGCCTTGACGTCCTGAATAGCAAGAATTAAAGAACATGAGCTGCGTATGCCATCTAGGTGTGGCCAAAGGGGGGGGGAGTCCTCTATAAGACTGGAGGTTGCTGAGCTCGAGAAATCTGGCCTTGATGTCATGAATAGCAAAAATTAAGGAACATGAGCTGGGTATACAATCTAGGTGTGGCCAAGGGGGGGGGAGTCCTATATAAGACTG